ACTTGTAATATTTTTCCAAACTTAACGTGTTCACAAACTGAAACTTTATGTTAGTTGCATTTATTTCACCAGTTAAATTCTGCAAAATTGTTTTTGTGGTGTGAAATTTCATGCGAAGTTTCAAGTTTTATTACAAAAACAATTTCTGTCAGTCACTGCTTTTAAAATCACTTGACATCAGACTTTTCTACTGTATATTGAATAGCAGAAAGAGAGGAAATTTGTTGAGTGTATTTGACAGAAATTCTCCTAAATACAGCTACGATCAAAAAGGTAAACTCGACTGAAATTGACTCAAATGATATGAGTTTCCTCTTCCAGACTTCGCGCCTTGGTTGGGAGTTTCACTTTCTGAAGATATATCTTGAACCCACGGTCAGCGTTTTAACATTCCTGTGCCAAAGCCAAACCATACAAACTAGGACACAGAAGGATATGGATCCGCAAAGATCCAACTCAGCGAGTTTTATTGTTTAAAGCAAAGATATTTTGTAGTTAACATGGTCTCATGTTCAAATAGAACAGTGTCTAGTACGATCAAATAGAACTACTATGGACTCTGTGAAGGCACACGGAAAGACTTCTTACTCTCCTCAGTGACTTTCAGTAAGTACAATCTGAGGCAAACCAGAACTAGAGGTGCTTAGCCAGATTTTAGGATTCTGTTACTCAAATGTCAACTAAACACTTCAGACAACATGAACATAACAATGCTATTCCTATGGGTGCCATTATCTGAGTAATCAGTGGTTGAAGTGAACTACTTAGATACATTTAACAACTGTTTGTAGCGCTACATGAATAATATATATCAGCTGCAGACAATAATTAATATCCCTTTACAAGTTTATGTCAGAGTAGTCAGATCTGATAATGTACTTATAAACTAGTCATGGACTTTTGTTTAGTACCTCCACTAGTTACGCAGGGCACTCATTTCGTAGGGGGGGGGGCCTCCTTTGCCCACCAATCAGGAGTACCAATTGAGCTAATTAAAGCCCTCAGCGACTGGCACTCTGACACCATCCTAATCTATTTAACAATGCCTTTAACAGTACGCTTGCATTCTGCTAACATGCTTTGCAAAGCTATCCTACTACATTCCACACCACACTCTGTTCACGGCTCACACTCATACACACACACTCATGGGTTGGGGCCATTACTATATATCTATTGTAGTTTTCCATGATTGTAATAATAGTGTTGTATGTAGGATTATATCTAATAAACTGCCTGATCCCAACATGAGGTTGCCAGTCTTTGTGTTTAGGTGAATATTAATCATATCAGTATGTTAGTTACTCACTAAAATATTTTAGAAATTTCCTGAATTTTAAGCAGTTGTTAGTTTTGAAAACCTAGTGGGCAGACAAATTTTATTGTTTTAAATTAAGGGCCATTTATACTTTCTATTTATGTAAATCAGCAGTTTCAAACAGGTGTCACATTTTTAAAATGTTCCTTCAAAGTAGAGCTATTTTCATGTTTGGTTCAAAACTCAATTTAACGGGTAGAAAATATTTTAACCGCTGAAGGAACAACATTGAATTATACTTGCAACATGGCTAAAAACCTGCTATGATATATCTATAGTTACAAAAAAGAATTGGGACTTTTGAGCAAATATTAATTTACTTAGAGCGCCGGCAATATGTGCTATGTGCTTCCAGTTTCGGCAGGCACTCAACTTGTGTCAAGCGGACTGAACTTTAATCAATCCTAGAAAAAATTAATTCAATTAGAATTTTTAATCAGATAAAACTCATTTTAGCGATTAATTAGGTAAGGGCTTTGAAATCCCAGCTTATGAGAAAAATTGAATTTTCAAAGTAAAATCAGTGGTCGGTTCTCACAGAGACGGCCCCTTAAAACCTCTTAAGCTTTAATTTGTCTTTGTCTTATTGTCTTCATCACATTTGTCAGAATTTGAAACAAAGGAAACATCACAGCCCAACTGGTTTGACAATTGAAACCAGTAGCATGTGAGAAAGGCAATTAATTTTCACATAATGTGATTTTCTTTTTTTCAGTCAGATGTTTCACATGTAAGGAATGGGGGCACTCCAACAGAGAGTGCCCCTCAGCAGGCTCACATTTTTGGCGTGGTGGTCGGGGTGGCTGCCACAGCCATCGTGGCAGTGGTGACCACCGTGGGGGTGGGAAAACCACCAATGTTTCATTAAAATTTATTCAGTTTGCAATTATTTTTTTCTGTGTTTTGCCTATGTTCATTTTCAGAACATTATATGTATTTTTGAAAAATTTCTGTACTTTGAAAATGTTCATTTTGATTAAAATGAAAGATTTGATTTTAGATGTTGGATTTCTTCTTTCTTTATAGCCTGCATACCTTGGGACTTAGTCAGGGTAGATTATTTGTGACAGTGCAGCAAATTAAAGTCACAATTACAACAGTGGGAAATCTCCAACTGCTACGGCTTATCAATATTAGCTACATGTATGCTGCTATATTCTTTGCTCAGATATGACATACTTAATTATGTTTTGTAAAAGGATGATGAAAATGTATACAAGCTATGAGGCTTTTGGGATTACCAAAATGTCATAAAAATTGTTGTGTTCTTAAATATGCTGTACAAATAGTAACAGTCATTTTCATCACCTATTTCTAGAGTGGAGCTCCTGGTTACTCATTCCGGTTTGTCTTTATCTATACAGGATAACCCAATTTTCAAAAACTAAAATTGTTTGGGGCATGCAAATGATAACTTGTGGACATACATACGTACATACATACTTTATTTAACAAGGCAGGTTAAAAGATGGCAGCAAAGGCTGATGTGGACCTGCTATGCACAAATAAATGTTTACAAAATACACTAACTAGGGAATTACAATTCATACTAATTTAAGCAAAAAGATATACAAATGTAGCAAATAACAAAAAAAAGTAACATGTAAAAGTATATAAAATCATCAGTGCTCTTAAATGTACTTGTAGAACTACAACCAAAAGATATTCTATCAATATATTTAGCGTGCTTTACAACATTTGCTTTAAATGATGCAACGGAAGGTAGAGACTTGATCTTTACAGGTAGACTGTTCAAAATTATACTGGCTCGATGAGTCGAGGAATCATTGTTTCCTTTCCAGTAAGTATGGGTTAGATCAAAGTTATCTCTTAAATTGTAGTTGGTTGCATGCTTGGTAAAAAGATTTGTGATACTTGGTGGTGCTAACTTATAAGTTTGGTAAGCTATGCATGCCAGTCTCTTTTACAAAAATAGGTCTGCAAAGCATACTTGTATGGTCTTAGATTTACTTTTATTTTTTATTTCATTCAGTTGGAGTGCTAGTTTCAAACGTTAGTATTCGGGAGTTAAAGTACTACAAGTGAATAGGCCATCACTAGAAAGATAAAGGTATAAATATAAATAAATGAAGTAATATTGATTTTTAGGTATCAACATAGGTGAGTTGTTATTAATTTTATTGAAGACTGTTTGCAGATATCAAATTAACTTGCACATCTACTGCCAAGAGGGTTTCTTGCAATATCTAAGCCACAGTTACATAATAAAGTCAGCAACTGAGAATTCAACAGTTGGTCTGAAATAGACACCTTGTCAATGGTGTTGATTCCACTGAAGTTCCGAATATGTTTTGTCATGACTGGAAAGTAGTCGTGTGGAATAAGAATAACCAATTTGCATACAGGAAGTAGGTTCTTTGGTTGATTGCCAGCTTTAAGATGATGCAAAATCTGGTAAAATTTTACTGTAAGGTAAGGTAAGGTAAAGTCTGCATGCAAGCCAAGTGGCCCATCAGGCCGGAGCTTATCCCAGTTTCTGTAGCATGAAGCGACTAGGAGTATTTCTACTCCCCCCTGTATGGGATGCTAGTCCATCGCAGGGTTACCCCCAGCATTAAGTTCGCCGGTAGCCATTTACACGCCTGGGTGGAGAGGCACTGTGAGAGTAAAGTGTCTTGCCCAAGAACACAACACAATGTCCCCAGCCAGGGCTCGAACCCAGACCGCTCGATCCAGAGATGAGCACACTAACCATAAGGCCACCGCGCCTCCCACTGAGGCCACCGCGCCCCCCACAAAATTTCACTGTAAATGCAGTAAAAACATAAAAAAACATGTTGTTCACATAGTTTGCATGCTTCTTTTGATACATGAAGAGCCTTGTGATGTTAAAAGTATATGTTGATGATTGACTAGTAGTTTGCATAATAATTTCTGGATAGAAGAGTGTATCCATGTTTGTTTCTGGATTCAATATTAATCTTCAAGTGGCTGTTAGCATACAGTTGTATAAAGAGTTGTGTAACAGAGCTTCCAGCGACTCACATGAAAAGTATACAGCACAGGTTTATCAGGTGAAACTTGATAAAAATTCAAATGCTACATAACAAACATAAAAATCATGTCTAAGGGAGTGTTCCACATTGCTCAGTGTGCTTCGCTCTGGTTTACCAGGTTCTTATGCTCACATGACCTGATACAGATGTCCCTCATTGTAGGTGTTATAATTGTTTTGTCAAACCCAGTACTACTTTGATCGGTTGGATCTGCTTTTAAAATACAATAAGATAATATAACTATAAACATTGCGATAAGACAAAAGTTAAAACCATCACGGTTAAAAACTCTAAAAACTCTAAAAAGCAACGACGTTTCAACGTTTACTCAACGTCATTTTCAAGTCAAAATGAATAAGAAAATGTTATTTGAATATAAAGGTACAAAACAAATCCTTAGAGACTTAAATAAAACACTATTAAATGCGACAAATATTTGCATGCAGTGTCACGTAAACAGTTTAGCATGAACTGAGTCTTCTGGGTATTTAGCCCAGGTTTTAGTTCCTTAATAAACAACATCTCGAATATTACGCAGTCAAACTTCGTTTCTTCGAGAAACTTGTCCTCTACAGAGGACTACAGTTCGCAATACCTCAGCCAACATCTCCTAGAGATATTCAAGCAAACTTCAAAAAGGCCTATTGGAAATTGGAGCCATTGCTTTTATCAGACTCCAAGAAAGACCTTGCCTTTGCCACCTTGAGATCGATTGCTTTAAATTATATCGCAAGTCGTGATCCTAACCCACCTAAAGCCTTCTTGCAAGCCATTAACAACCTCAAATGCCGGGAGGACATAATCATCACCAAACCTGACAAAGGGTCGGGCATTGTAGTAATGGATAAGACTGATTACCTGCGACTATTTTGCGACGCTTCTATTCGTGATTCCACCAAGTTTATTGAATGCAGCAACGAACGTCCAAAAACCTGTGGAAGACCACCCAAGCACTATCATCCTCTGCTAAAAAAGGAGAATGAACTTTACACCAAGGTACACAACATCCTGGCAAAATCAATTGCTGATTCTCTCTGCCCTAAAGGGTCAAGACTTGCCCATTTGTATGGATTACCCAAGACTCACAAGCCTGAACTGTCCATGAGACCAATTTTCTCGGCGACTAACACATACAATTACCCACTTGCAAAATGACTGGAAGAGAAATTAAAGCCTCTGTCAACCAATGCTTACATGATCAGTGATATCTTTCAATTCTCCGAAGATATTAGAAACATCCCTGTTGATGCTGACCACATACTCCTATCATACAACGTGCCAGCTCTGTTTACCAATGTTCCTGCTCACGAAACCATCAGAATACTTGCCGAAAAAGCTTTTGCTGGAAACTGGTTTAATAACACCTACAATCTAAACCTCACCAAATACCAACTTATGGAATTGCTCAAGCTTGCAACTACAAACCAACTCTTTCAACTTGATGGTACACTTTACGAACAAGTGGAGGGCATTGCCATGGGCTCTCCACTTGGGCCACTATTAGCCAACACCTTCATGTGCTCCATAGAAGAAAAATTAGAAGAGAAAAACCAGCTCCCTTCTTTCTACAAACGGTATGTGGATGATGCTTTCACAATCATGCCAGATCTCAACAAAGCCAATGATCTCCTCGATAAACTGAACTCTTGCCACGAGAACTTGAACTTTACTATGGCCAAGCAGGATAGTATTCCCTTTGTTGGCATGAACATTACTAAATGTGGAAACAGACTTGAAACATCAGTACACAGAAAGTCCACAAACACGGGCCTGCTCCTTCACTATCACAGCCATGTGAACAAACATTACGAAGGGTGTTTACTTTCCACAATGATAAACCGCGCTTATCACCTGTCATCGACTCCTACTGTGTTTTCTGAGGAATGCGGCAAGCTTCGAACTACCTTTCTAAACCTGGATTATCCTGTAAATTTGATCAATACTTCGATTAACAAATTTCTATACAATATTGACAATATTACTGTGCTTGATGCAAGTGATGGCACCTCTAATATCGTGGTACCACTACCATTTAAAGATCAACAATCAGCCAACTCAGTAAAAAGAGAAATGCAAAATCTGAGCGCAAAAATTGGAGTACAAATAAAGCCTGTCTTTCAGTCAAAAAAGATCAGTCAAGTCCTCGCCCCAAAAGAGAAGAAGCCGCTAACTGTCAACAATCAGTGGTCTACAAATTTCAATGTGATCTGTGTGACACAGATTATGTCGGGTACACAACCCAACATTTGCACCAACGCATTGGCGAGCATAAACATTCTGCAATTGGAAGACACTTGGAAGACCATTGCCTATCGAAGTCTGATTTGAAGGATAAACAATTCTCGATTTTGAGGAAATGTAGAACAAAGTTTGACTGCTTAATATTCGAGATGTTGTTTATTAAGGAGCTAAAACCTGGGCTTAATACCCAGAAGGACTCTGTTCTGTTACGTGACTAATGTACGCAAGTTACCAGTCATGTGTCATGTTAATGTATGATGTTGGATCACGTGGATTTACCTTGTAAGAGTCGAAGATCTATCACTTGAATAAAGGTTGTAGAACTAAACATGGTGACAACAGTGCAAATATCGGAAAAAACCGTTTGATATCGAACCGTAACAACGTTTGGAAGTGTATAGGATGCCTGGAGATCCTCCACCATCGACAACGGGCGAACTGCAAGCCTTGGGCACGCAGTCACCGCCTATCTTACAAGGAATACAGCCCCCCACAGGCCTGGATCTGTTGCGACAAAACAAGGCTGTGAATTGGAAGGTGTACAAGC